TTTCTCCACGTCCTCACCAACGCTTGTTCTGTTCTCTTTTTCTTCCTCTTTCTTTTCTCTCTGCATTTCTTTTCTTTCTTTCGTTCTTTTTCTTTCCTTCCTTCCTTCCTTACTTTCATAGGCATCCTAACAGGTGTGAAATGGTATCTTGCTGTGGTTGGTCCACTTTTTTAATATCAAAATTCAGCCTTTCTCCTGAAGTCCTCGGTGGTCTCATGCTGTCTCAGGTGTCCCTAAAGTGTTCCTGTGAGATGAGGCTGATTTTGACCTTTAACAGGCAGACAAAGGAGACACTGGAACCTGCCTGAGAAGTGGGAGAGGCTGTCGGCCCCCCCTTCTGTTCGTGTGTGGTGTGGCCTTGCAGTACCTGCTGGACAGGCTTGTGGGGAGGCCTCCTGGCCTGGAGCACAGCAGTGATGGCTCTGAGGAAGGAGGGGGAGGAATCAGAAGGGTGGGTTGTCCCGGGTACAGTCGGCAGGCCACTCCCTCCTGGCTCAGGACAACAGCTGCCTGTGGCTGCTCCTAATTCTAGTGTTGGCTGTTTTCTCTATGTTAGAGACAACAACCACCACCTCCATGAGCTCCAGCAGAGGGTTTCCCACGGCAGATTCATGGGATACAATTCGGATCCGTTCCTTGGGTGTGAGGCACTAAAGCAACCTTCTAGGATTTTGAAGTGTAGTTTAGTGGAAGCTGCTCGTAAACTGACCCAGAGCAGGTTCCATGTTATTGGCTAACAAGGATTCCCCCTCTTGGGCTGGCCAACAACTGTTCACGGTTCCACTTTGGAAATGGCAATACCAGGGGTGATGAAAACAAAAAATTTAGCGAACATTTACCGTGATGCTTAATATGTCCTTGGCATGGTTCTAAGTGACCAGGGTTGGCCTGAGACAGTGAACGCAGCTGCACAGAGCGAGTTTGCTGTGTGCTGGGAGCGTGGTGGAGCCAGAGCTCAGAGTGCGGGGAGACGCTTAGAGGCTCACCGTGCTGAGAAAGTAAGCGAAGGAACAGGACACTTCTTAAGGGCCTCACCTGCCAGGCCAAGGTGTTTGCACTTTGTTCTGTGTGCAGTGGGAGCCACTGTGGGCTTCTGAGGAAGGCAATGGCAAGAGTAGAGCTGGGCTTTCGGAGGCTGGGTTGAGTCTCTGTTTGACAAATGTCTCTGGGCCTCACCTATCTGAGTTCCAAAAACCTGCTTCCTAGGCTGTGTGCAGCTTTCCTCTGCAACCTGCCACTGAGTGTGACCGACTCTTGGAAGCTGTGAACTCCCCGAGGTCACGGGCCTTTGTAGGGCATGAGCTTCAGGTGTTTTAGTTTGCAGTCTGGTACCTGCGCATCCCGTTTCCAGGCATTCTGACCTTGTTTGACCACAGCGCGAGGCAGGTAACATGATGTTCTCAGCCTCCGAAACTCGCAGACCAGCCAACTGGGCACCGAAACCCAGGTCTTCTCCCCGCAGTGGCCTCTCCCTTTTTCTTCCTCTGTACGACTCCTGTCACTCTTCCCAGACCCGGCCAAATTCTCTCTGTCCTGTGATGGCTCCCAGCTCCCGAGCAGGATGTGAGAGCTGCTGCCCTAAAATCTGACAGTACTTTATTGGTACCCCTTTAAGTGATGCTCACTGCCTTCTCCGTTATAGTAGAGATACCTACTTGTCTTATTTCCCAGCTTGCCTTGGAGGGCCTTAAAGGACAGTACGCCACTTTGTCATCATTGTACCCAGCTCAGGGTCTGGCGCAGCATTAAATACTTAATCGGGTACATTCAATCATCCAAAAATATGCATCGCCTGTTGACTGTATTCAAGGCACTGGAATACAGCAATGAGTAGACCGGAGACAATTCTCAAACAGAAACGCTCGTTCCTTCTTAGTAGGTAATAAGGTCTTTTTTTTTTTTTGGCTGACCAGTATGGGGATCCGAACCTTTGACCTTGGTGTTATAAGACCACTCTCTAACCAACTGAGCTAACCGGCTAGCCCCCAAAGAAATTCTCTACCTGCCCTCATGGAGTAGATAGATTAGTGGATATTCTGCATGTGACATCCATGACAGTCACTTCCAGTAATACCTGCTGAGGGACAGACTTCATGCTGCCATCCTCAGGTCTGGGAAATATATTCCCAGAAAGGGTTCTTAGAACACTTGTGAAATAGAAATGCTTTCTTTCAGGACCAGGGCAACTTACCTTGTAGCCTAACAGAGAACACAGTTCCTGGTAGGTCGTAGGTGCCTGCTCCACATGAGCTGAATAGAGTTGGAGTTGAAACAGACGAGGGGTAAGATTTTACTGCAGGAGGAGAAGGTGACCTTCTGGGGCCAGGATAATCACTAGCCTAGCACGATCATAAGGACATGGCCAACTTCAAGAATTCTCTACAAAAGGGTTGGATTTTAGAGGCAGATAGGAGCCTGACAAGATGTAATCAGACTACGAAATAATTAGATTTAATGGAAGACCTTGACTCTAATAGGCTTCGTTCCCTCTCCTGCATTTTCCCAGTTCCAGACTTCCCTTTTGAGTTTTAGAAACAGCAACACACAGATGTCTTTTCAGGGCCACTTGTCTAAGACAGGGCGCTGCCTTGAGGAGCACAAAAAGACAGAAGGCTGCAGAGAGGCCTGTCTTGGAGTCCTGTAACCTGTGAAGTGACAGAGGCATCAAAAGATCCTCTTTCCTTTCCCTCCAACACACTCACCGGTAGAGGATTCTTAAAGCAAATATACTTCATTCACAGAGCCTGGTTTTCCCAAAGCCTTGCAGTTTCAAATATTGACCTTGTGGAGGACTGGAAAATTTCCTCAGGCTATAAAGTCTCTGTTGTAAGATAAAGATTTGTGGCACAGCAGGTTGCTGGCTCAAAGACAGACCGGTTACTGATTGTTATGTGTAGATACTGGAAATTGCTGGAGGGAGAAGGAACATTTGCTAAGATCAAGCTTTTGTTGGTGGATCACTTAATTGTCTAAGGGAATGTCATCTGACTTGTTTCACTGAAAGTTACCAGCCTATATTGTTAAACTATAGCCCCACCTATGTTCTCTTCCTGTAACATCCTGGTCTGGAAAATAAATGCAGGAAGAGAAATTGAATTCAGGGTTAATTTCCCAAGGAAGGGTTGCCTCTTGCTTGAGGGTTCTGGGAAACTTAACCATCTCAGGGCTTCTCACTGCTCAGAAGATATGGGCTTTGAGTAATCCTTTGCATCTCTGTCACCCAGGGGAAGTGGGGTGACAAATCCGTCGGGGGCAGAGCAATACTCGCCCACCAGCTCTCAAGGTCACAGGAAACCAAAAAAGAAAGGGCACCAGAAGTGGGACACCAGTGTTTCCAACAACTCATCCTGTGGTAGCAGAAAGAGTGGTTCCTTGCCTAGCTTGGCAACTGACCCAGCTGGGCAAGAGGCTGTCTTTCCTTGGGCCTCAGTTTCCATGTGGGCGACATGAAGAGTTGAATCAGATGGGTTTTAAATGCTCCTTTGGCTTTTTGTAGGAAAGAGCCCTGGTGTCAGGTACATGGGATTTTATTATGAAGGAAGCTTGAGAAGTGGGGCCATATGGTGGGAGGAGCCGTGTGGCTTTTAGGGCCCGGCATGCCTGGATTCTCTTCCTGGCTCTACCCAGAGGCTAGGTGTCCTCACCTATAAGCCGAAATAGTGATGGGGTCTCCCTGGGTGGTTGGAAGAAATGTCTACAGTGAGGCAATGCAGGGAAAGCACAGAGAAAGCCCACAATCACAGTGGGTGATGGCGCTGGTGTTTGAAGATGCTGCTGGCCTTGACAGGGGCCTTTGAGGCTGGGCGGATGGGCTCCAGGTTGGAGAAGCTGCTCTGAACAGGGCACTACCAGGAATAAATACATATGGAGATGGAAATTTCCATCTCAAGGCTGCCTGGTCATTCTGTAATGGGGTTACAGGAACAATCAGACAGCCCTAAATGCCACGAGTGTCTTTAGGCCCACAGGAGCAGGCTTGCCCTCGGGTTGCTCCCGCAGTGCACAGTCCGGGCTGCGGGTCTGGGCCAATGCGCTGTCTCCTTCTTCCCAGTGCGACGGTCCAAAGCGGCTGACGAGGAGAGGAGCCGCCAAGCCCAGCATGCCAGGGACGAATATCGGCGCCACTCCCTCTGTGCCATCCAGAAGGGCACAGTCGCCGGCCTCAGCTCTATGTTTCAGGAGCTTGGCCAGAGCCATGAGCAGGAGGCAAGACTCTACCACCACCTCCCGGGCCCTGGTCCGCCACTGCCCCTCGCTGTGCCTGTCAGGTGAGTCGGGTTTCTGTGTTGGCAGCTCGGGGACGGGCTTCAGGCTGGGGCCTGAGACACCAGGATTCTGGTCCCGGTTCTGCCCCCTGCTGTCCTGGTTCTGTCCCTGACTTGCTGTGAGATTTGGGGCTAGTCGTTTCTCCTCTGTGGGCCTCAGTGTTCCAGTCTGTGTAATGGGGTGGCAGGGGGAGCAGAGGGGGGTGGTGGAGATTTCCAATAACTTTAGAATTCTGGGACTCCTAACCTTTTTGGGGTCAAGGATTTTTTTGAGAATCCGAAGAAAGCAGTCACTGTCCCCCCATATGTGCATATTATAAATGCTCCCAAATGTTTGCATACAATTTTACACCCTTAAAGGTCTGTGGACCTCAGGTTAAAAACTTGTAATAAAAGACCTCAAATAGGTTAAATATGGCCCTGCAGCCTGGAAACCAGGGCTTGCTGCCTTTCATTGGGACAGGCAGTGCTGGGCTATCCCCAGTTGGAATAGCAGGTTCGCGGTTTAGCTTGGTTGAATGCAGGAGGGTCCTCACACACATTTGTGTCCCCAGAGGGATGTTTTTCGGCATGGGCACTTAGGTGACTGCCCATTATTGCCGGGAGGGAAGGTCAGGAGCTCACTAGGAGCCTCTCCACATTCTGTCTGTCCCACTTTAAGCCAGCCCCGAGGTGTGGCTCCTCTCCTCTCAGGTCTCCCCCACCCCCATCATTGCCGAGCACCCGAGCGCTCCCTTCATTCAGCACAGGTAAGAGTCCATTCACCCCCAGATAAAGGGGGGTTCTGAGTTTGCTTTAATTGGAATTTAGGGTTCTTCATACCCGCCTTCTCCCTCCGTCTGCAGTCTGGGGAGGGCCGACCCTGTTTTCATTTCTTCCCTTCTCTCTTCCCCTCCCTTTCTCTCTTGTTGTGTATGTGATTCCCACACCAGAAGGTTTAGAAAGGTGCACTGCGAAATCTGCTCAGTTTCCTCTTCCCCCGTAGGTAACCCCTGTTCTTAGTTTTTTATGTATCCTCCCGGTTTCTTTTTGCAGTTGCCAACACAAAACATCCTATTCCCCTTACCCTTTATTTGTTTGCATAAAAAGTTGCATATGTACACAGGGTTCATTCTGCAACTTGATCTTTTTCTTATTTAACTATCTTTTGGGAGTCTTTTCATAT